GTTTTAGCATGTAAATGCATTAACCAACACAGCATCTATGTAGACCACACACTATTTAAGTCACTTTGAAACAATTTTAAAACATCCGAAATTCACAATTTTTCTTGCCTTTCTTTCAGGTTATGGAAAAATGGGCTTCGAAGATAGGACTTCAGAGGTCATCGGTTTCAAAAAGAAGAAGACATCAAGAATTACACTTATAAATCACAGATCACTTCATGATAGGCCATCAGAGAATAGATTTTAATACTATTGGTCAAGAGATTGCCCAGTTGTATGTCACAGAGGTCAGATCTTGATACCACAGATCCAACTGTATATCATCCATGATAAGTCTTCATACCACATGATAACAGATTACTCAAATGCATATTATAGCAGTCAGAGTTTGACACCACAGGTCAATAGATTACCCAACTGTATATCATAGCGGATAGATTTTGATACCACATGTAAACATATTACACAATTGTATATTATACCCAGTCGGCTCTGTGGCTAAGTCAATGTGAACGCTTCGTAATGCCAGGTTCAATCCCAGCTGCGGGCCATGCACCTTGCTTTGGTTTCGACAGTGGTATCAAGAAAGCCGACCGTCCAGAAAGCAATGGCAAACTACTGGACATAAATTTGCCAAGAAAAATCACACAACAGCCAGGGGCTGTTGTGGTTGGTTCTGCAACGTCCTGTAAAGGATACGCAACTAACCACATATTATACCCAACTGTATTTCTTAGCGGATAGATTCTGATACCACAGGTCAACAGACTGCCCAATTGTATATCAATCACCAACTGTATATCATAGCCAATAGATTCTGATACCACAGATCAACTGATTATCCAACTGTATAAAACAGCAGATAGATTTTGAAATGGTTACCTAAATGTATACCACAGTGGACAGAGCTTAATACTTCAGATTACCCCACTGTATATCACAAGACAACAGAATAAAGAATATCCATATCATTGACAGCAGATCACAAATCCTATGTGAAGTAGAGTGGATTTACCTACACTATTGGAAAGGTGCATACAACTCAAATGACACATTAGGCAGTGCGTGTAGCTCAAATGACCGGCTTAATGTTCAAGTCCTTGAAATTACAGGTCAAAAAGTCATTTCACTGAAATAATAGATCAAAATGTCACATCACTCAAATGACGGGTCAAGAACAAAAACATCACTAGAATGACAGCTCAAAAACAGTGCAGCATCTCCACTGAGCAAAGCCCTCCAGTTTTCCTATTGGCATGACATTCCCAAGTAATGTCTATTGATAAGGATAATCAATTCTCCATGTAAGTTAAATTCTTTCAACACTGCTTCAAATTTTTTTCTGCAATCTGCCCGTTGTCGGCATTTGTGACTTAAGCAGTGTGAACACCAATTGTAATTCCAAAATACCCAGTTCGATTCCAGCTGTGGATTATCTGGCAGCAGACTATTTTGCATTATTTGTCCAGTGGTATTGGATCACTAACTGTTCAAAAACAAATGGCAAATTACGTAACATAAAACTGTCTCGTAAAACCACAACTAACCAAGAAATGTTGGGGATGCTTCTGCAATGAACATAGAACTTTAAATCTGTCCATGTTGTTTTTGTAATTCTATTTAAAAACCGACAAACATTGCCCCAGTGTACAGAGCAAACATGACACACAAAATGTACCTAACCACAAAGAATGCAAACTTAACATTACAAGAAAACCAAAAAACATATGAGATACCCTACTACCCATCTATTTAACATCACTTTTTAAAAGTATTCCTATCTGCTCTATTTTAGTGAGGAGGTCAAAGGACAGTAGATTACTTTTGTCAATCTTGTGTTAGCATGCATTACTTAAAGCAACAACAACAAAAACTGGTATTGCTTATAATGACTGAGAATAAGAATGTAGTGAATACATTAAAGCTGTGTATTCAAAGACAAGAGAGTCGTCGTTTTGACAAAGTTTAACAAATATATTGAGTAAAAGTGGAGAGTTCGGCATAAATGGAGTGTTGAGTACAAGTGGGGTGCTGAGTACAAGTGTGGTGTTAAGTACAAGTGGAGTGTTGAGTACAAGTGGAGTGTCAAGTACAGTGGAGTGTTGAGTACAAGTGGGGTGCTGAGTAGAAGTGGGGTATTGAGTAAAAGTGGGGAGTACAAGAAAAGTGCTGAGTACAAGTGGGGTATTGAGTAAAAGTGGAGAGTTCAGCATAAATGGAGTGTTGAGTACAAGTGGGGTGCTGAGTACAAGTGGGGTGTTGAGTACAAGTAGAGTGTTGAGTACAAGTGGGGTGTTTAGTAGAAGTGGAGTGGATATTACAAGTGGGGTATTGAGTATAAGTGGAGTGTCGAGTACAAGTGGAGTGTGGAATACAATTGAAGTGCTGACTACAAGTAGAGTTACTGGATGTAAACTCCAGAAAAAAAGTCTTGACTGGCTGTCCTTTTCATGACTTTGGCCTTGTTTCAGGAGATTTGCATGCATACCTGTTTTACAGATCTGGCTTATATGTGTGCAAACTGTTGGCTCCTTGCCTCTCTGGCAGATGCACTGTTTTCAAGGAAATATCTAGGATGACCAGTCCGGAGTAGAAAACGTGTTTCTAGGATGACCGTGCAGAGGTGCAGGAGAGGTACTTGACCAGAAGGAGCCCCAGTCCTAGTGCAGGACCAAGTGTAGTTCAGCACCTTCACATCCCTGTGTACAACTGAAGTATTGGCTCACCCTAATCACTGGATGTCACATACCAGGGCTATTCAACAAAGTTTAGCCAGGGGCAAACATTTTGAAAATGGGGACCAGTTGACTAGCCCTGTCATACATGGTTCACCAGTTGACTAGCCCTGTCATACATGGTTCACCAGTTGACTAGCCCTGTCATACAATGTTCAGTCAATTCTTTCCGTCTGTTCTATTTTACAAAATCTTTTCGATCTCATAAATAGAATCCAGTCCAGTACTTTTGAAAGTAATAATGACTATAAGATAAGTACTGGGGACAAGTGAACGAACTGAGTACCAAGTGAAATATGAGTCCAGTAAAGAACCTGCTTAAGTGCCCAAGTGTAGGCTTTGATGCAAATGATGAACGTACACAAAAATTAATACATACTGGTACAAATAAAGGCTAAAATCTTGAGTACAAACTAAGGATCTGGTACAAGTGAAGTATTATGTGAGCTAAACTGACATATTATGAGATAGGGGTGGACTCTGAACAGCTAGGGCATTTTAAATTACAAACAGCATCCACAAAGGCTACAAAATTGTGGTTTTACAAAGCATGCACTTCTTCGGCGACCAAGAAATGAAATTCATATGTGTTATATTGTTTGTCTATCTTTCCTTTTCTTCTTCCCGTTCACTGGCTGTAAACTCTAGAGCGGAAAGTTCTGGCTTTTTGTCGGGTTCTGAGCTTAGTCTTGTTCTAGAACTGGAGATTCGCGCTCACTCACATCCAGTTTACAGATCTGGCTGAATTTGTATGAAGACTATTGGCTCCTCGCTTTTTAGACAGATGCACTCCAACTTTGAAGGAAATTTCCCCAATTAGGCGACTCTCATGACATGATTGTTAGGGGTCTGTGGGGCTGTTATTTTTGCCCACACACAATCTGTCTCCCGAATTCACATGGGAAAGTTCATCCATCAAAAGTGATAAAGACCACTTAGTATTTGAAATAAGAAAATAGCCAATGAGTCCAATTCGAGTCTGGAAAGTCCTTGCGTAATGAAGACACATTTGAGCGGCGGTAGAGGTGGGATTTGCAATATGGTTCGTAGAGGCTGCCCTATTTTCTTTTATTGCCCCCCTCCCCTGCCAAGTTGATGTGCCAAACTTAATCACTGCACGCCATCCAGACTGGTAATGTGCAACAGCTACTTTGTTTGTTAATACCAAACGATATTTAAGAGCAGTTTCAAGAGTTTTCTTATAGCAGCCTTTTTCTGTCCACCTAGTGATTTTTTGCCCATGATGGAGTCTGCCACAAAATATTCTGTTTGGAAGTCAATGGTCTGACCAGACCAGTGGAAAAGCTATTTCTTCAGTACCATGCGAATGCTTGGCAAGTCTGACCTTATTGGCTGATGACGTAAATAGGAGGTGACTGCAGTCGAGCTGATTGCAAGAAATGCTAAGTATAACACAAAATTTGATTAGAAAGCTCAACAAATGGTGCTAAAGATAAAGACTTTGGTCTAAACTTTCTGATGTGTTACTGTGCGTCTTTCCCATTCCCACAGTTGAGCTTTTTAGCCACATTGTGTTATATTTAGCATTTCTTGCCTATTTTAGAATAAGTGTTCAGAATATTTTCCTGCCACTTGTGGCTACTATTCAGGAATGGTTCACAAAGAGAATGGTGAGCTTGAGAAGCAGGCAAAAAATACCATTGGCAGCAAAACCAGTAACTTAAATGTTCTAACAGCGGCTGAAACACACAGACAAATATAACAAAAATATCAAAAGGCAGTCAACAACAGGGTGATGCTCTGTAGCTTAGAGGCTGGTGAAAAGTTTCACAATCCTCAATGTACTTTAAAAAAAAAAAAATTTTACTTGACTTCCTGGCAGTCGTACAAGAGTTATACCACGGAAGACCTTGCGGCTATAACACCTCTGCCCTCCCCCACAGGTAGAAATGGGTGTTTCACAGCGTAACTTCACTGTGAAGGCAAAACACCAATTGATTTGATCAGAAAGAAAAAAAGAGAATATGTGTAGCTACAGATTTAGGGAAAAAGAGAGAGAGGGTGAAATGAGTGTTATGATTTCAAATAATTGGGGTAGAGGTTGATAAAATTAAAAATTAAAAAAAAAACAGAACCAAAAAGTTCTTGGTGGCCTTCTATGACAGCACGGAAAGATGGCAGACAAACCCCAACACAGTTTTGAAGAGGAAATGTATGATTCCCAATGCCAGTTGGCAAAGCACTTGATGATCAGATTAAGAACAAACATTCCAACAGACAAAAAAAACACAAAATGTGACTCACCATTCATCTCCCTCATCGCACGAGCAAAATCCAGTGGGTCCTTAAAGCTGACAAACCCATATCCCTTTGTCTTGTTTGATCTACGGTCTCGGATAACCTTAGCCTTCAGGAAGCTGGGATACTTATTGAAAGCCCGCACTAGAGTCTCGTCAGTAACCTCATTTCCAAGATCACCACAGAACATACGGAAATCATCTGGAAAGCAAATTAGAGGCTTTGAGGAAGTAAAACAAATAAGAAAGTAAAAGTAAAGGATCTGCTTCCATGTCTTGGAGGGTAGATGGTGCTTTCAGCATATTTTTATAGACCAATCACCACCTTGGGGACACTGGACATATGGTGAGTAAAGTAAAAAAGTAAAGATCCCTTTTCATGCCTTTAGGTGCATCTGGCAAATGAGAAGAGCACTCAAATTTTTACAGACCAATCGGCACCGTGGGGATACTGACACATGGTGAGTAGAAGGCCCTTTTCTTTCAAGTGGCACATCGGGCATACAGCGCCAGACCTATGTTTTTCAAAAATCAATGAGCATTCACTAGCTGATGTGGTGAACAGCACAGTGGCTGCCTTCAGTTACCTGAACATTACCTGGTACTGTTTTTAATGCTGGGTATACAAGTGAGCCAGAGCCAACGGGAAGCGCAAATAAATTGATAAAATCTAAAAGGAATGACAGGCAATCAACCTGTTCTGCACATCAGATACCTATTCTGTGGGGTGAATCAAAGTCTCAGGTGTGTGGACTGCTTCCTGGTGATCCGTAAAGGATGCAGCATATGACTCAAAACATGGATGTGGGGCTGAGCAGTCAAATGCAGTGCGTGATGCTTCCTTGGAATGATCTCAGCTGGGTGTTTACACTGGCAGCAGACATTTGAACCTTTTGTCACCAAAAAGAATCTGTCTTCTTCTTCTTAGTGTTCAAGGGCTGTAAACTCCAGAGGAAAGTTCTGGTTGTTCATCCACCTCCCGGCTTTAGACTTCTTCCAGAACCTCAGTGTTGTGTGCGCATCCATTTTGACAGATCTGCCTTAATTTGTTAGGGGACTTGGTTCCTTGCCTCTCAGGCAGATGCACTCCGACTTCAAAGGAAACCCCCAATTAGTCGTCTCTTTTGACATGCTTGTTGGGGAGGCAGTGGGTCTATTCTTGTTTCTCCCTTAATGGGGCTCCATAACAAAGACAGGCAGTAGAATCTTTGCATGAAGAACTTCTGAATCTTAGCTGTCCTTCATTAGGACATTAGACAGACAGACATTCGAACCTGAGTTGCCATTTAGTAGGATTCTCAATCGACAGATGTATGAACTGTGATTTGTCAATTAGCAGAAAACTTGGCCACCAGACTTCACTCATGTTTCAGTTGAGTTTTCATTTGACGCAAATACCCAAATATTGGCGAGTGGGCTAATGAGTGCCATACATTTTCTAGATCCTTCACCTCTGCAGGCCACTAGCTCCGAGGTCCCCTGCCAGCTCAGTTTAGGCTGACACTAGCCAATATCCATGGTGGTGTATGACAAGGAAGTGTGGTGGGAGTCTTGCACAAGGTTACTGGGTATAGGGTATCTCCTTTTTTTTCTACACATAATTGCCTTAACTTCCTCTCATACCTGTGACAGAAATCACAACCCCACATATGCAGACGTGGTGACGACTAAAGCTATGAAACATCATCATCATGTAGCAGGTCTTTTGCAGAACGTCGCTCTCATCACAGTCTGCCTGAAAAAAACTCGGACTCTCACCAGTTCTCCCGCCTCATGCATTTTCACATTCAAGGAGTCACCTATATCCTGTGCATATCTTTGTGTAGGTCGGCCCCTGCCCCTTCTTCCTGGTGCCTTCTGCTATAATTTTTCCAATCCGTCGTGGCGCTTGATATGACCAAAATATTTCAGCTTTCGAGAAAGGATGCTGTTTATTAGCCAATCTTTCTTGATGTTCAGATCTTTTAAGATGTCAATATTTCTCATCTTCTTTGTCCAAGATATTCTGAGAATCTTTCTAAAACATTTCAGCTCAAAAGCCCCTATTCTCTTTCTCAAGGACTGAGAGATAGTCCACGATTCACATCCGTATGTAGCCACAGGGAAGATGCATGCTCTCAAAATTCTAAATTTGATCTCCTTGCTGGTGCTTCAAGCTATAAACAGCTATCCCTAAATACATCAACAGCAAATGAAGACTCAAGTATAAATTAAACCTGCTTTACAAAGAGACAAATCAACTGCTTCCTTAGTATGACAAATCAGATATTGTGAGAGCCCTTTGGGAGCGAGTGGAAAGTGCGGAGGCGCAGAAGGATCATTGAGGTCTGGGGAGAATGGCACTGTGAGGAGTTACCAGGGGATCTGGCCAACGCTCAACACTCGTGGGAAGGATGAGACGGATATACAAAGGTTGTGAAGTTGAGAAAAATTTTTTTTAAAGTAGTTTGGGGGAAAGGAAGGATATTTTAACATTAAATGACATACTTCTATTTAAAACGTATTGTAGGGAAGGGGTGCAGGAAGATGAGCCAGAAAAAGACAAACAGCAGTTTTTCGGTTACAACAGAGCGAGAGACAAAGCACTGGAGATCCATCACAGCCAACAATGATTGTGGAGATTATTTCAACTGCATAAAAAGAAACATCTTTAAAAACCATACTGGAAGTGAAAGTTGCAGGTAGGTGAGCAAGAAGCAGACAATGATAGAAGTGGGAAGATGGAAAACAAGAGCTTATGTGAGTGTGCAACCAAAGTGAGAGGTCTATTTCAGCCAACCATCACTGTGGAAATGGCACATTATGGACTGCTCACACACAAATGATAGACACTTATTTATGAAAACATACTAACCTTGTTGCCACTCTGCCAAAGTAGGGTCTTCCCATGTTGTGTTAGCAGCCAGTCGCAGAAATTTTTTATCTTTCTTCTTCTTCTCCTTCTTCCCGCCAGTTCCTGTGACCCCTTGTGCATTCACAGTGCCAGCAGCAGCAGAAGCATCCTGCATTGTATTTGACAGCACAATCCCTCCAACCAAAGCACTCTCTGGGACAATCTCCATATCTAAGATTGACTTGTCTTCATCAGGCAACGAGCCGACAGTCAGGTTTGTGCCATCGATATTATTCTGGGTTGCTGCAATTAAAAAGAAACACACACAAAAGTGAATCAGTTGCATGAAGAAAAAAACACAAAAACAAAAACTTAGCATTTTTTTAAAAATGTTAGTGCTTGTCTTCTTCTTCTTCGTGTTCAAAGGATATAAACTCCGGCGGAGAGTTCTGCTTATCCACCCACCTCTGGACTTTAGACTTGTTCCAGAAATTGAAATGTTCATGCATATCCACAAAGGAACTGCCCAATTAGTTGACTCTTAATGACATGCTTATTGAGAAGGCAGTGGGTCTATATTTGTTTTCCCTACAATGGGCTCCGGAACCCACATGGGTAGTTTCGGCTTGTGTCTACCACTTAGGGGTGTGGGTCAGGGTGGCCTTCAGTCGTCTAGGGCTGTACAGGTCAGGGTGTTTATTTCTGCTCCAACAGAGAAACCTCCATCATGTTACCAAGGATTCACATCCGTCTGCTCCAACAGAGAAACCTCCATCATGTTACCAAGGATTCACATCCGTCTGCTCCAACAGAGAAACCTCCATCATGTTACCAAGGATTCACATCCGTCTGCTTCAACAGAGAAACCTCCATCATGTTACCAAGGATTCACATCCGTGTCTCCAACAGGAAACGCCCAGCTTTCTAACCATTCAGCCAGCTGCTCATCTTGAACAGTTTTGAGCATTTCAAATAATGAAGAAGTTAAGAAATAAAATAAAACAGTTAAAGGATGCTGGCACCTTCCCATCTTTCCAGACAATAGTGTTTTACTGCCCTACAGGGAAGCATAGGGATCATAGGGATCAGTCTTTGGCAATGACAAGAGTGATTACCAAGTCCTGTTGCATTAAGAAGAATCTGCGACATTAAGGGCAAGCGATTTCAGGACCATTGTTGCAGTCACCTCTATTTGCTATGTTTTTTTTTCTCAGATGCTCATTTCTTAACCATAATATAAAGTCTTGACAGTATTGCAGGAATCATGTGTTACCCATCAAACCTCTGTCAGCATGCTTTGTTTACTCCCAAGGAAAGGTAACACCAACTTGTTTGGAATAAAGCATGAATTCATATTATAGATAATCAGCCCAAACAAGTCTCCTACTTGTTTATACATTATTTTTCAGTGTAGAAATTGACATGGTTACACATTAATTGTCAAGACTGTTTTCTAGAAAAAAAATGTGCTGGTACTTAGCAAAGTGTACCATTTAAAAAAAAATTTTTTTAAAGAAACTCACCACAAGGTGTCTAATACTGTAGTGCTAAAATAATTATGACTACAAATGGTGCTGATACTGTGTACTGGCAGAAAAATATACTTCACTGAATATAAATGTGTACATAATCAGTCTAGCTGTAATATGTATGTTGCATCTGCCCAAGCAGGAAGGAACAGCTGACTGCACACAAATAAGCCAGTAAAAAAATAGATGCACTGGCAAAACTCAGGCCCCGACACAAAGCCAAAGTCCAAATGGACGAACAACCAGGACTTCCTGCAAGAACTTACGGGCGGTGAACAAAGAAAAAGAAGAAGATATGTATGTCTCATGTACAGCCAATAATTTCTGATACAGATGTTCCTCAATGCCAGCAAACAAAACCAGTGACTCCCTGATGAGAGCCTAGAGTTCTTAAGCAATCTGTCTCTTTTTCCCAGAGTTCTTAAGCAATCTGTCTCTTTTTCCCAGAGTTCTTAAGCAATCTGTCTCTTTTTCCCAGAGTTCTTGAGCAATCTGTCTCTTTTTCCCAGAGTTCTTGAGCAATCTGTCTCTTTTTCCATGAGACACATAAGTATACATGATACTGAAACCCAACCTAAAATTCACATACCCATAAAATAATGTCCCACCTGTTTTGTCTTTATTTTCTCCACCTTGACCTGCTTCTGTCTGTCCTTTCTTTTTCTTTTTTTTCTTCTTCTTCTCCTCTTTTTTCCTCTCCACTGTTATCATTGGGGCAGCAGCATAAACAATTTTCGACTGTTCAGTTACACCGGGGGAAGACTCTGTGTGAGGTGCCTGTAAAAGATAGGATGGTTATAAAAGTTCAATCACCTCTTCAAAATATGGAGAAAATAAACAAGATCACTATATTTAAAACACTGATTGTCGTGTATATGGATATGAGACTTTGAATTTGAAAAAAAAAAGATGATACCTTTTTACAACTATTTGAGAACAGTCCTAGGGTAAATCTTTGGACCCATCCAAGATGCAAAAAAAAAAAAAGGAGAATGGATAGTAAGAAGTAACAATGAAATTCATAACCTTTTTTGGTCACTAACGTCTAATTATTTACAACTTTAATCTCTTTCCGGGAGGGCTACCCTGTCAGTTTTTCTATCACCCCATGATATTCTTTGCACTCTTCTCAAAAACCAAATCTCCACTGCCAGTGGGGGCTTTTCAGCTTGTCTGCTTATTGCCTATGTCTTGTGTGCATATAACGACATAGATGAGAACATAAACAGGTAATGAGGAAAACACAAAAACAGCTGATTACTTCTAAGAGAAAAAGACAACCAACTTATTTTTTAGAATGAGAGGAGTGGCTATATGAGTGGTTATAATAGTGTTGTTCTCTCATGTGGAAGACGCAGGTTCAAATCTTTTGTAAGGTGATGGTCGAGTTTTTGTTGAGGGGGAAACCTTCATCCAAACTTGGGCAGCTTGTAGTAACAGCATGACTGCACCAATCATGCGGCTCTAAATCCTTATACACTTCTACACCAAGGCTTTTTAACTGGCAGCCTGAAGGCCGAATTTGACTGGCAGAGCAGAAGCCTAGCCAGTGGCCCATGGATCATTGCAAGTTGTATTCTATTAATGATCTTTTTTATGCTGAGGTTAGAGGTTCTGGCCCATGACCATCCTCAGTTTCAAAACTATGGCCCTTAGCTGAATTGCCCTACCCTACATCCTAAATATGGTACTCAAGGCAGTTAAGACAAATTTTTTTTTTAATCAGGAAAAATTACTCATTACTCCTTTAAAACAAGGTTAGGAAGATGGCAAACTAGCTCTATACCTCTTTGTAGGAGAATGAAATGGGTTAGGAATTCAAGGTGTTCCATTTTAAAGTTTGTTCCTTATGATTCTGACCCTTTGAACACTGTATTTTTGTAGTTTTTAATTTAGTTTTGTCTCTGTGTCTTTTTGTTTGTAGTGCTAGTAGTAAAGGTTTCGTCATTAATAAATGGAGGGGCAGTGCACAATTACCAGAATAAGAGAGAAGGTTGATACAGGACTGTGCCTGAATTACACTGAAAGACAGAATGAAGTGGTCTTGCCATCTAGTATGAATGTAGCCAGTCAGAACTGTATATAAGACCTATTGAGGAACATTTGGGTGGAAGACAAAAAAAAAAGACTTAAGGAAGAGATAACTAGATAGTGTCGCTAAAACCTGCACATGTGCGCCCCTCTCTCACACACATAAATGAATAACACTATCATTCAAGCCACCAGAGAGGTGCAAGACAACTAGTTTTTATTTTGTTTTAAGGTTTTCCCTCGAGGAGCTTCTATACAATGTGATAAAGGCTCTATAACAGTGTTTCCCAAACTTTTTTTTTGACTGTGGCGCCTTTTTTTTTAATTGTTTCCACTGCGCCCTAACCTAAGTAAAAGTATGGCTATTCGTGTCTTGATTACATTAATTATGAAGCTTTTACAATATTTCACAGAGTCACTGTGAAGAGGTCATGGCTCCCCGGGGTGCACAGTTTGGGAATCACTGCTACATGAGATCAAATGGTTTAGACCAGTGTCAAAACTACCACAACACAATGCATCAGAGAGAGCCCTGTCACTTAGCAGAGCTAGCTAGAAGTCACCTACAAAAGTAATGGACAAGTGGAATATCAATACCAACCAGTATCTGGCTTACACCAGATGCCTCTTCAAAACCTCAGCAGGACTAGAGCAAATAAGAAAAAGACTGAAAGTTTTACCATTTTTAGGGCAGTAGGATTGTGGGAGGGGGTCCGAACATAGGGATTTAGGATCATGTGGCTAGTACAGTTGTCATGAGCTGTACATGTTAAGATGTTTAATTTTACCCAAAAATTGAAGGAAGTTAAAAAAAATATAATACAAATATATATATATTTAAACAAAAATCAAATACACTTATAATAATATCTACAAAAGTAAAGAAAAACTGTCTCACGTCCAATGATGGGGTCATAAACGGCATGCTCCCTGGTTCAACACCTGGAGGTCCTGGGGGCATGATCTGTGGTCCCTGCTGAACAGGGACACCTACACCAGGTACTGGAAGTCCCTGAGGACCAACTGTGTTCATCCGGTGTAACTGTTGACCTAGCATCATCATGTGTGGGTGTCTGGGGAATCCGAGCGGACCACCAAATGGCATGCCCATCTGCATTGGAGGTCTTGGAAATGGTGGCCGGAGACCTGGCGGAGGTGCCCGATGTCGCAGCTGAGGTGGCAGAAAGGCTGGCCGAGGTAAATGGGGACCCTCACCAGGCCCGTATGGCTTAAAAGACAATGTTGAGTGTATGCTGTTGTTTTCAAAACCGTTGGGTTCTGGTGGAGGGGGTGGAGGAGGCAGTGGCACAAACACTGAAAAACAAAAGGAAAATTACATATTTTAAAACTATACAAAATTTATTTGAATCAAATTATTAGTGTTTATCTGCCACAGAAGGTCATCAATATTCTTTGCAACAAACTTCACTTTTAAAGAGTCAAATATCTGACATGCATGCACAGCTCATATTTGCTCCTTTGCTCCTACCCCAGATGACTTCACAGAAAAGTCCAAAATAAATTTTTAAGGGTGGTAAGACTAGGTTTCCCGGCTTTCTGATGCATTTAACGACCCCATAACATCTAGAACTGGCCCTAATCCCAATCCACCTATGTCCTACAAGAGAGTGCAACCTAGGTGCCACGACTGCATTCAAATTAGGTCCCACGACTGCATGCAGCCTATCTACCACCCCCTGAAATATCAGACTGTAGATTTCCTCTGTTTGGGGTAAGATATTAATAAAGCACAAGGGCAAAATATCTGTGCCTTCTGGCCCAACACATGTAATTAAAGAAAACCCTTAATTAGGTGACTTGTACGATATGCCTGTTAAGAGTGCAGTGGTTCTATTCACTTTTCCTCAGAACGGGTCCCAGAACCTGCAAACAGTATGAATACCAAGTAAACTATACAAAGAGAGTTCATAAGAGCTATAGAGCTATAGTACAAAAACTTTATCATGGACAATCAGCCAACTGGTCAACAATCATGTTGAAGCAGCAAAGATGCTTCATTGAAGAATGATGATAAATCCAAGTCCGGGTCTTCTTCCATGCCTTTGAAGCATCAGGACATCTAGTGCCACAAAAAAAATGTTGATGTCAAAACTATGCAGTCACATTTACTTCCCTCGATATTACATGCACCTATTTTAGGTTGGGTGGACCCGTGTGGCCAAGGTCAATTTTGGAAATAAAAATCTGAGTCTTTGCAGATTTGAACTCTTGACCTCTGGGTCAGCACGTGGGTGTCTACCCACTAGACTAGGGCTATTCAACTTGCGGTCCATGGCAGGGATTTGGCCAGCGAAGGCTTAGCAAGTCGTCTGCAGATCACTGCCAGTTGTATTGTAATAATGATCTATCTATGCTTGGGCTCGGGCCTCAGGTATTTCATGATCCCCACTGTCAAGACGCTGGCCCCTCAGTGATCTCAGTTGAATAACCCTGTAACAGACTTGTAATAAAATATAGGCAGTAGGGGGTTAAATGAACAAAGCATACATTTCAGACCACCACACGGCGTACTAATCCATCACTGTGTGAAATGACAGAAATGGGTGATTAGAAAGCCATGTCCTAGCCAGCTATGCAGAACATCTGCACGATAACCGCCATGACATCTGACAGTGAGGGATGAAACATTTGACGAGTGCCCGTGAGCAAGCACATGCACTGTGACCAGCTGAAGAGATACGTTCATCCAAATGTGACCACCAAAGACAGGTGACAGGGGAGTGATGGAGAAGGCACGCCAGAAAGAGCGGGAAAGCGGGAGAATAAAGTCAGAGCCAGGGGCTTGAGAAGTAAGTTAGGACCGGACCGTTTGAGAGACCAGTTGAGAAAAATAGTGCTGTACTTCGTTTAAAAGGTATATGTTAAACTTGGAGTTTAGCTAGAACAGTGGTTAAGGAACTCGTAGAGAGTCATACGAATAGCCAGTATCAAGATAATAAAGTGTTCAAATACTATTGCTTATTGAATTTATGAAGCCTGTGTGATGAGAATATTGTGAATAAACCAGCTCTTGTGTATTTGATTACATACTGGCCTTGTTCTTGAGTACGATTGAAGAGAGCTACGAACTGTATCCGTTCACCTTGGCCGAATAGGCACATCTATTTCTTGGGGAACGTATAGGCACGACTGTGCCACAGACTATCACAACTCCCGATGTGAACTACAGCTCAGCTGTATATCACAGTGAAAAGTGCCAGCTGCCCTTTTAAAGGCAAATGCAGAAAAATCAGAAGGAGATGAAAAAATATATGTTAGGATATCAAAGCGGTTAATACTATACAGATTATGAGACCCATTCACAAGCCCCAGTCAAGACTTACAGTTGTTGTTATCATGTACCACTGGCAGTTGACGTAAGATTGATGGTGGCGGTGGTGGTGGAGGAGGAACAAAAGGTCCCTGAGGCCTTCCGGGCCTTTCATCAATATCATGAAACTCATCGTCATCATCATCATCATCATCCTCATCATGATCAGGAGAGAACTTTCGCTTCTGTCCAGCGGTGAAGTTGGAATTCAGCTGGCGCAGATCAACATCTTCAACTGTGCCCTCTCTCTTCTGCTGTAGTCGGGATGATTCCTGGCGCAGGGATGTCAGCTGGGCTTGAACTTTGTCAAACGTGCTTGCTCTGAGAATAAATTGTCCAGATGGAGGACCTCCTGGGATCTGGATTTCCGCTTCAAAGCTGAAAAATTAAAAAAAAACAGTAAATATTATTCAGTATTTAAAAGGTATCTTAAGCAGACTTATTTAGGCAAGAAGTTTTCAAGAAGTTTTCACAGCACTAGAAGATCTGTGGAAGTCAAGAAAGACATGAAGCAAATGAAATATTTCTGCCATATTAAATCTTTTTTTTTTATTTGAGAAAGACAATTCATTTTCAAAATATTACAGGTTTAGGTTTAAACAATGGATCAACATCATGGCACAAGGGTAGTAACACATAAGTGCTCCATTCTGCTTCTAACTCAAGCCTGAGTCCATAAAATCTCAGCACAGTGCATGAACTCCGTAGAACTGGCGACGATTCAGAAAATACTTTAGGTAGATGTTTAACTCCAAATTTTGCTACAGTTGTGCCGTTAAGCTACTCTTTTCGATTTCCAACAAACTTTATTTAGCGACTACGGTGTTCGGCAATTCGCGGTCTTTTGGCAATTTCCGTTACCATGGAAACCGTTCGAAACTTGTTTGGGAAATGTCGGCTGGGGTTTCGGGATGGGTCCCAATCTCTCATGAAGTTTTGCGATTGGTGTGGTTATCACCAGTATAAACAGCAGAAAACGGCGGGAACGAATCCGATTAACAGCGCATGTCTACGACAGCCGGAAGTCCTCTGTTTTTCTGTTACATCAGTTTTATTAAAAATAGTGATAAGTATTCAAGGTTGGCTTTAGGCTTTAACATTACTCGTACTGGTAATGCTGGTTATAATTGAATTCTCCGTCCAATTTTACATTTGTATATACAATTTCTTTCGTATCAGTGGCTTTTTAGATTTAAAGTGACATTTTTCAGGCAATCGCTATTATCATGCTGTGAAAATAGCGGTAAGTATGAATTCAAAGTTGGCTTTAGGCTTTAACATTACTCGTACTGGTAATGCTAGTTATAATTGAATTCGCACTCCAATTTTACATGTGTATATAAAATTTCTTTCTTATCAGTGGCATTTTAGATTTACAGTGACATTTTTCAGGCAATCGCTATTATGTGGCTGTGTCTCATTGTCTGCCATCTTGTCCAATGCAAACAAAGCCAAAACGATAAGTGTGCAGTTTGGTTGCGCAGGGAAAACTTCTTGTTTCACGGACGCAAGTTTTCAACAGTTTCCAAAAGTACCTGGTAGACTTTGCAGTTCGTCGTGGAGCTAAGGTGAGGCAGCAGCAGTCTGAGGTACAGAAGAAATGTCAGCAGGAAAAATTAGAGAAGTGGGACAAGGCACTTAGGGATAAATGTGAGAGAGATCTGACAGCAGAATTTAAAAAATCCAAGTCCATGTTTGCAATACTTGAGATAGATTTGTTAAAAAGTGTAGCTGAGGAGTCAAAAGATATGTTAAGGAATTTTTTTAGTGACACTAATGCTCTGTCAGGTGTGTTACTGCGGCACATCTGGAATGATGGAGAAAAGGACTGTGTTTACTTCGAGATGATAAGAAATGTGGACACAAATAAAATTCCTCTCAACACGGAAATCGAACTTTGTTCTTGGAAGGAGCACGAGGAACAAGCAGCAGAGACCTCCTTCACCTTGACAATGAAACAGTTTCTAGCAGACTTCGCCACTGGAGATTTGACATTTTGTTAAACTGAATGTCATATATAAAACAAAGCAATAGAAATAAATTAAGCATTTGTATGTTAGAGTAATAAAAAAGTCGTGTAACACTCTCTTTTATCTTGCATTGTTTAACAATTTAATAAAGCACATTGTCTAGTATTATTTCAGAACAGCGTCAGGGATGATACAGGCTTCTAAGGGTAGAAGTAAGGCTATCCTCCGAATAACGGGTACAAAAGATGGCGGCCAATGCCGGCCAAAAACAGGGCCTCAGTCACGTGTCAGTTTCGCGCTCCCGTCGACTTAATTTGCGGTTTTCCGATTACCGCCACCACTTAGAGTCCCTACGTCCCTCATGAGCGGCGTGGGGAAATCTTGCGGTGGTGGTAGTCGCAGGAAAACCGCAAATTAAGTCGTCGGAAGCGTGCGACTGACACGTGACTGAGGCTCTTTTTGGATGTTTTTGTGCCCATTATTCTGAGGATAGCCAGAAGTAAACTTCCAGACATGGACGGTGAAAAAAGATAAGTAGTTATAATTTCTTTATCTTATTTTTTATGGTTTGTTAGTATAAAATATATGTAATTTTTTCTTTATAGCAATTACTTACTTATTAACCTCAATCAATGCACATACAATTAATGAAATTGTTGTTTTAAAATGTTATATTGAATTGTTTGTGTGTGTGTATATATATATATGTTATTTATAGTTACTTTTTTTTTCTTTTTCAGGCTTGCATGATTACAGAACTGTCAGCTTTTTAAACATGGACGAGTGAAAAAGGTAAGTCGTACAAACATTTGTGGCTAATGCTTTTTTCTGATGTATTGTTGCACAATTAATGAAATTGTTGTTTTAAAATGTTATATTGAATTGTTTGTGTGTGTATATATATATATATATGTTATTTATAGTTACTTTTTTTCTTTTTCAGTCTTGCATGATTACAGAACTGTCAGCTTTTTAAACATGGACGAGTGAAAAAGGTAAGTCGTACAAACATTTGTGGCTAATGCTTTTTTCTGATGTATTGTTGCACAATTAATGAAATTGTTGTTTTAAAATGTTATATTGAATTGTTTGTGTGTGTATATATATATATGTTATTTATAGTTACTTTTTTTCTTTTTCAGTCTTGCATGATTACAGAACTGTCAGCTTTTTAAACATGGACGAGTGAAAAAGGTAAGTCGTACAAACATTTGTGGCTAATGCTTTTTTCTGATGTATTGTTGCACAATTAATGAAATTGTTGTTTTAAAATGTTATATTGAATTGTTTGTGTGTGTATATATATATATGTTATTTATAGTTACTTTTTTTCTTTTTCAGTCTTGCATGATTACAGAACTGTCAGCTTTGTAAACATGGACGAGTGAAAAAAGGTAAGTCGTACAAACATTTTGACGGAGACTTTTTTCTGATGTATTGTTGCACGATTATTTAAAAAAATTGTTTTTTAAATGACTACTGCATTATTTGTATATGCATTATTTCACTAATTTTTTTTTCTTTTTTTTTTTTTTCAGACTTTTACCATGACGTAAACCTGTGAGAAAGATACAAACTTCTTTTAGTCATGTTACGAGAAGAGCGGCATTGGTGATTAATAAACAGATTAACATATACATAGACAATAAAGATTAATGCACAGATATGTTGATGGCTTGTTGATTGTTCTGTTCAGACTCCACCATTCAACAACAAAAATATAAATTAGACACCATATTGAAAAATAACTGACCAGAGAGCATGACTTAAATTATCAAATCAAAATTATCATATGACTTACATGATTGTTCTATCAGGGTGAGAAAAAAATTTGCTCTGGATATATATAATATACCCACAGCAAATAGTTTTCCCATATAACAAAAAAAAAAAAAAACATTAAATTTTTTTTAAATTAAAATATTTTTTCATGATAATTGGCGGCCATTTTTAAATAATATTAGTCGATATGATGTAATACCTAAAAATTTCCAGATATTCAGTTAGACATTGCTGCCCTGAACACAACAGTATCTGTTATCTTTGGTCTATTTTTAATACTTTAAAAGAACGTTATAAAGTTTACGAGAACATATCGACTGATGATTATGATAAATGGCGGCCATTTTGAATAATTATTAGTCGATATTGCGTAACTACTAAAAATTTTATGTTTATTCGGTTAAAGCTTGTTGCCCTGAATCCAAAAATATATAGTTTCTAGGGTCTGTTTTAAATACTTTATAAGTTAAAGCAGTTTTTAAACACTACTCTAAAACTTCTGATTTCTGGGCAGCAAGTTTCAGCTCACTTTTGTATTTTTTTCTTTGTTAACTTTTCCCACAAAAACTTCAATAACTCTGCTTAGACTTGACATAGAGGCATGAAAGAGGCACCGTTGGAAAGGGTTTTTCAATACGGATGCAGCTGTACTTGTTTTATGAGGATAAAACGATTTTGAAAATTTGACCAAAGTTGCTAAGTACAGCTGTTTTTTACATCTCATCTCCACAAAAACCTACATATCTCAGCTCAGAAATGACATACAAGCCTAAATGAGGTACCATTGGAAAGAGATTGTTTACATCTATCTAACTGTGCTGGTTTTATTGGTGTAAAGGGCATTTTGAAAATTTGACTAAAGTATCTACTTTATTTTCAATGGGTCACAAACTGGGCACGCAGGCCCGTCTTACATTCGGCGGTCATTCCAGTCAACGATCTTTCGCATAGCAGTTGTAGTCGACGAATGGAGAGTGGTGATGCATGAATGAACCTTAAGAGCTCAGGATGAAGAAGAAGAAATCAAGTAACTAAAGTATGCGAAGTACAAGTAGTACAAGGAAGGGGAAGCCGGGTAAGGGTAGCTCAGAAGTAGAAGTAGTTTAGTAGATAAGAACGACGTTCGAGTTCGTCGTCAACAAACTAAACTCAAACGATGTCATCACTGTCAGGTCACATCCAAAGTACGACGTTACTTACATGAGGCGTTACCACCTACCCCGCTAGTCTAAATACAGTATATTACATGCATATATTGTAATTTAACGAGATCACAACATCTATTTACCGGTCCATCTCCTCCTCCATCTCACGTAAACGTTCCTCACTGATCGACGCCATGTTTGTTTGTTACAACTTACAACGGACACGGTCGCACTTACGGCTGTTATTGTCGTAATACTGGAGTCTCTGGGCGTCATCATCATCATGTGTTGTGTCGACAAGTGGTTGCGGTAATCGTTTTCCATCACACACGATCACCATAATCATTTGGTCTGGTCCTCTCAAGTGAAATAAAGTTAAAGTAACGGACTCTTCTCACAGCAGTAGGCGCATCGGACACATACTCAATAATTCCAGTGGCTGTTATTAGTCCCATGCTTCCTTCAGCATAATGTAATACTGTTGTCTTAAAACAATACCGAAAGGTGCCAAAATCGCCAACATAAAATGTTGGCCCCATCGCCTATCTACAGCCGAGTGTCTGTTAGAAATATGAGGCGTCAGCTCCCACATCCTGTAAAAATGCATTTGCTAAACAAATTTCTGGGAGTCACCAAGCATGCACTGAAATGGGACATTGACAGGTTTAGGAAATGATTGCCTACAAGAAATTTAACGACGAACGGCTCATTTGGCGCTGGCTACTACAAATATGGCAGTGACCACTATTGGAATCAAGCTTGATTTCACTAAACCTAACGGCGGGGTTGACAGACAAAAAACGTCATTTTATGCCAAACCATTGCCCAAAATATGCCAGAAAAATGCCAGATCAAGTGTAACATTGTACTCGCTTCACATCAAAAGCTCTAGACTGAATTCTTCACTGTCAGCCTCGCTGGAACAAGTGGAGGATACAGCGTAAACCTTTTTATAATGATGGCATGTTTCTTGTTCCGAAAATCACCAGTAAGGTCATCCTTAAGTGCAGGCGACATAATGTTTTTTTTTTTTTTTTTTTTTTTTTTTTATTATTAGACATGAACATTTAGTTCTATGCAACTATATGTGCTCCAGTGTACTCCCCCCTACCATGCGCTCTCGTGATTTAGATGATCATTTGTGCGTATTGCACAATGGCAGGTCATGGCAGGTCATGCATACAGCAAGTTCCTAGGAGTTATTGTAATAAGCTGTGACTGGCTTTTTGACTGAGTTTTCATTCTGTGTTATTCGGATTTTTCATGATTTGATATGCTACTAATTCTTGGTGCAACAGTGCACTGACACAGTTTACAGTATGCTGCCTCTGATTCGTCTGAAGATCTTTTAAGCCATGGGTATGTTTTATTCCAGTTACTATTATACTTGCAATGTCATAAGATGCTTTCCATTTTTTGGATGACGTTGCCATTGATAGAAGTAATAAAATCTATCACAGATAGAACTATGTCTATATCCTCTCTATTTTCTGTCCCCAAATAGTTTCTGAACAGTCTGAATCACTTGATATCAGTGGTGGGTTTTGGTTTTATATCCCGCATTTATTCTAGTAGATCAACATAAATTACAGGGAGCCTGGGTTTATCGAAGTCAAAATCCATTAGGAAGACAACAAATACAATAAGAAATGGTGCGAATTTCCATTAGTCAGTACCAGGACATCACAGCAAAGTCAAACTGAAAAAAAAAGATGTTAACTGTAGGCCTATATTGCCAGGAAAAACCCAAATATGCCAGTTCACGCCCATCTTCAGGGCTATTTATATCTCAAGATGGCCGTGGACAGTTCAATTTCAAACATGCCAGATTTGGGAATCCGGCATAAATAAAATGCCAATATGGCAACCATGCCTAACGGCCGAGGTCGGCAAAATAAATAACAGACGTTTCATAAACTTTAGACACTAACACCGCGCGGTTCTACCTTTTCGGAAAGTAAAACACACACGATTTCCCTAGTGTCTGCCAAACAAATAATTAACGAGCCATTTCTAATAAGTTAGAAATGAATCCGATCGCCTTAAAAATAAATATAAATATTTTTTAATAATGTTAAATCTTTAAAGCTTATCATTTTGAATACGTACAAACTATTAAAAAAAAGCTATATTAATGGTTAAATTCTTAATGGATTCTATTTGAAATATATACCTTAAATGGACCTATTGAAGGTTTCAATACTGATCACATTTTCTTTTTTTAATATAATGTAATTTTTAAAATTAACTTATTATGAGAAGGGAAATAACACAGTCTCTAATGGGAAGCAATCGTTAAAATGTATCGTACACTGTGATTCATTTCCTTGACTTGACTTTCTACCCCACTAGGATTTCACACAAGCGATAAACACCCGATGACACAAAGTGCCACCATGCGGATGAGGATCACCGTGGAGAGGTCTCAGAAACCGCGTTCAGACAATTGGCCATATTATACCCCTGGCAAAAGCCAGGGTAGGGCTTCAAATAACAAAAAAATTTGCCCTAAAAAGGACGAAATTGTATATAGCAGAAAAAAATTAATTTCCTTCGAAGTCAAGGTGCATATGCCTTGAGAGGCGAGTTAGCAAAAGTTTGCACAAGAATAAGCCAAAACTGTAAAACGGATATGTACGCAAAACTGAAGTCCTGGAACGATGCTTAAGTGCAGAAATGACCAATAAACAGACCTTCCCCCCAAAATGTACAGCCGGTGCAAGGGAGAATTTATCTTAGAGAAGCCGCGATATGGTAATTTCAACTAGTAATCTCCTTATGGGATCCAATTTTTCTTATTTTTTTAAACCTCACCCTACCTCTTGCCAGGGGGTATCCTGCCGTCCTTTTTAAGGTGCAATTTTTCGTTATTTGAAGCCCTATTCAAGCTCATGCCAGGGGCCACAATATAGCCCGGCCATTAATATGGCTGAACGCGGTTTCTGGGACCTCTCCATGGTGGTCCTCATCCACGTGTTGGCACATTCTATCATCGGGTGTTTATCGCTTGTGTGATGTCCTGGTTGGGTAGAAAGTCAGTCAGTCTTGCCAGGGGTAATATAATATACCCCGGCCATAAATATGTTCTAATGGTTGAACGCGGTTTCCGGGACCTCTCCACGGGTGATCCTCATGCATGGTGGCACTTTGTGTCATCGGATGTTTATCGCTTTTGTGATGTCCTAGTGGGGTAAAATTTACTTGTACTACGATATGGCAATGGCTAGTCACCGGCCCACCGACCCCCACGTTTTGGTTTCGTATTTGCATCGTAACACATTTGTTATAAAAATGATTTTTTGCTCCTAGCTCGAGCCAACCTAAACTACGTAGATGGTGGCAAAGATCAACATTTGGCTTAAAACGAAGTTAATGTAACTGTAACACTGTGACTTGTCAGTGCACTTTCAAAAAAAAAAAAGTTAGTAGTAAAGATGTTAGCCACATTATTTACCACAAAGTAACACATCTAAACAGTAGAAAATAGAGTATAGTTAGTTTATCCTGGTTGAAGGTTACGAATTTTAAATTATTATCAAATGGGTCCTGGTCTCTACCTAATAAGAAATGGCTGTAAAAACGGCCAGGATGATCTTCACCCCATCAGCCACAGAGTGCTGAATAGTCTTCTTCTCCTGCCTTTCTATCCTCCAATGGAGCATGGGCTCACAACTAACTCACGCCAAGTCGTTCTATCCTTCGCTATTGCATGGAGCTCTAACCATGTCCTTCCTCCCCATCTTCTTATCTTCGTTTTCCAGCTCTCTTCTCCGTGTGTGTGTGTTTTTCTGCCTTCCTTTATTCCTATGCCTTTGTGGGTTCCAATGCAAAGACATTCTAGTTATGCTGTTGTCCGGTTTTCTCAGTGTGTGTCCTATCAACGGTAAATATAGCTTTCGAATTTTATGTTGTCTAGTGTGCCCTTCTGTCTTTCTACTTCTTTTTATGAGTGCTGATCAATTTATTGTCTCTTTACTAATTAAAGGAGTTGACATGATTGAAGTGTAGCACAGGAAGTGTGACCACACATACACACACACACACACACACACACACACACACACATACATACCAGGACCGTCTTAAGGAATGGACCCTCGGGCACTTAATGTTGTTAAATGTTGAATTAGGAATCAATATCACAGCATTCGGACACCCTCATAAGCGCTCTGTCCCCATCTTCAGCAGCAAGAGAAAAGTTCCAGTTCCTATATTACTAATTACTGTCTGATTGTATACTGTTCAAGAAAAGAAAGGCATAGTTAGCATAGTTAGCCGATTGTTTGTGAAAAAAAATATCGTACTTGGGTATGAGCAGACTCAAATGTTGTTTACCGTGTCCAATAAATACGTTAGCACGAATTGCGTGGGTTTTTGTAATCGTTACAACTTAGTGGTCAATTGTGTTTTAGACCGTATTTGTGAGCATGGCTCATGATACGCGCACGAGAAAGCAACACAATTTGGGGCGAAAACTATTCACTGTCTACGCAAGTGAAACCCTTTAAAACAGTGATTTCCAAACTGTGCTCCGCGGCGCCCTGGGAAGCCGCGACCTCTTCACAGGGGTGCCGCGAAATATTCGAAGATACACAAGATTTTTTTTTTTTAATCTCTCACATACGAAAGTTCATTTTTTTTTTTTTTTTTTCACTTAGGTTAGGGCGCCAGGAATTTTTTTTTTTTTTTTTAATCAAAAAGTCTAAGAAAGGTTTGGGAAACACAGCTATAAAAGGATAAGTCTACACCAAAGCATTCAGTTCATTTTCTAGCAATCTCGAATGGCGCCTCTATCAATCCATTTATGGAATATTGCTACTGGCCGATTGCAGGCAGGATAAAGTCAATGACAGGTTGTCATTCATTTAAACGTGCATCTAATATAAATAAATGGTTGAACGGGGTTTCTGGGACTTGTGGCAGGGGGATCCTCATCAGAATGGTGGCATTTTGTGCCATATGGTGTTGGTCCTGGTGGGGTTAAACAAACAAACAAACAACGTTTTATCAGGTAACGGCGATCGGGTCGCCCTTTGGCTGGCCGGTAGACAACTTCGTCGCTGGTTGCGACAGTATTTGGGTCTGTCTACTTTGATTGGATCCGCACTGCAGGAGTCTTTAGAGCCAGCCATTAGAGAGACACAGAACAGGACATTACAGACA